AAGCTATTGTCACGGACAAGTCGTATTATTTCAATCTTCCATTAGAAAGTGACACTGTCTTCGATGAAAAAGACCAAATTTATAAATCAAACAAATACGGATTCAAAGCAGAAATAAAAGTAGGTACACTCGCATACGGAGAACCTAAAAACGTATTCGATATCGGCGAAACGCAAGAGTTTTCTTTTCGAGGTAATTGTCTGATTCAAATAGAGTTTCCCATGAAGGTTAAAGTCAATAAAGTAGTCTTCAAACAAACTGGTAATGCCGTCAAACATATTTCATTATTCAATGATGGTAATTTGGAAGAGAATATACGTTTGATTGATAAAAGGGATCAGGAAATTGAAACGAAAAATGGTAAATATGTAGACGCCTTTAAAATGGAAGTAGAAAATGATAAGGATATCATTGGAATCAAAGATTTAGATATGATATTGGAGACGGAAAATCCACCATCAAGCAACATTGTCAAAATTCCACGACGCTTACACGTACACGGAAAAATAGAATCGACCAGTCACGAATTTTTACGAACAACAGACTTTGAATACGTAAAACTGTATTTTGTTTTAGGTTAAAAATACACCTCGATCGATGTTCATAAAAGTCAACAAGAAAGAGAGTTTATAGTGCATTTATCGTTTGCCGAAGGTTCCGACTCCATCCTTGAAGGTGGTGGTTTTATTTCTAGAGCCAAGATAAACATCGAAAAAGAAAAAATAAAATATTCCTATCATCTTAAAGAGGACCATACGAAAAAAAAATGTCGTTAGTACGCGTAAATGTTTTTACTTTTAATACCCGCAAATATAATAATTCTAGGCCAAACAAGCGCGCTCTATACGATATTCCGTGGTTCCATTTATCGGAAATTCACTTAATTTAACGACTTAAAAAATGGAACTCGAAAGCAGACAACAATACATGATAGACAAACAAGAAGAGTTGAAAATAAAGTTAAGACAGTGCAATACATGCAGGAAAACATGTAGTAGAATCGATTCTTTTTTCAAAACAGCGAGCACAGTTCTAACGGTAGGAGTAACGGTGGCAACGGTCGTGACTGGTGGATTAATGCTTCCGGTCATCGTCCCAACCGTATTGGCTGCATTAACAGCCGTTCAAACGACCTCTTGCGGTCTCATCACTTTAGGTTTCACGAGCAAAAAGAAAACTCATTATAAAAAGAAAACGGGTATCTTGAATATGTATCTTAATCAATTGTACATCTTTTTCGAAAGATCGAGAGAAGACAAGAACATAACAGTTGAAGAATTACAAGAATTCAATGAAATTTTGTACAAATTCCATACAGAAATATCAGCGATCAAAATAATCAAAAAATATATACTTAAAAAAATATGAATAAAATCGAACTTGCAGACGATGAAACATTGATAGAAAACGCCCTATTTTCCGATGTTATCAAGGCTATCTCTGATAAATTTAAAACATTCAAAGGAAAAATTAAAATAGATGGAGAGATAGTCGAGGAAGGGAATCACAGACAATACATGTCACTCCTCGGTTTCAATGCCAAAACTTTTCACAATATCTTTTCAAATATGGACAAAAAATCCGATGCTTCCGATTGGTATTTTACAGGAAAAATAATTTTAATGAAAGACAATTTCCAAGAAATAAAAAGATCGAGAGTTGGCAGAGGAGGAACTGATCTACTTAAAAAGATAAATGAATACGAAGGCGAAAATTGTTACATACCTACAGATGGTCACTGCTTTGTAAAGTGCGTTAATCCTGTTTTAAACGAAGACTACACGAGAGAATTTCAAGAATACATCAACGGGTTTTCAAAAGCAAATAGAAAAGGAGTGATGACTTGTGCTAGAATGAAGGAATTCAACAAGAAATTTAACACTTTGTTTCAAATTTATAATCCCAAAAACAGACATTTTCATCCCAGAGACGTTCACGATGAATTAGATTGGGTTTTTTACTTACACAACTCGCATTTCTGTCTGATTAGAAGAAGCCAAAAAAGTTTGGGAATTCAAGAAATAGAAGACAATTACGAACAGGTGTGGAAAATGTGTACAGACGATAACGCAGTAACACAGGTTTCACCCCTCAAACTAAACGTGCTTTCGAGTATGAGTGATGATGCGTTATTCGCTTGGGATTGCGAAACGTATTCAGAAAAAGACACGCGAAGAGCAATTCCGTATGCCTGCACTTTAATTAATTTAGACAAACTAAGAAAAAAGTTAGAAACGATAAAAAATATCTTTCCTACTGATAATGTTCCAGAAGAATTTTATGATAAACTAATGAATGTAGTAGAACTATTTGTAGGTACAGATTGTATAGATCAAATGTTGAAATATTTAGGTCAATATGATAGAAAGAGATTAATATTAATTTCTCATAACGGTAGTGGATTCGACAACTAGATCGTGCTTAAAAATGCAAAAAAACTAACGCATTGCCCTTTAAAAACACCCAGAGGAATTCTATCTTTTCCTTTATCTAATCCATACACGGATGAAGTTTTACAGAAAAAATGGAAAAGACAGAAAGAAATAAAGGGTAATTATTTACAACATATTAATTTCACGTGTTCCTACCAACACGAATCCTCTAGTTTGGCTGCATGGGGAAATTCTTCCAATCTTCCCGCGAATTTGAGAAAGATTGCCGACGTAGATATCGCTAAATACACGCAAGACAACTGGGAGGAATTGAGACACGAATGGG